TTTGTTATTTTCCAGCTGTAAGACTTATAAAAAGTCCCCCAATATGATCAATAAAGGACGTCAAGAATTCCAGAATCCTTCTTCATCCTCTTCTATTTCTCTTCCTGAAATTTAAACTTATCATATTACTGATTGAAAATGGTTTTCACTACTCAATACACGAGTATCATAAGTAAATTATAAGCTACAGATCCAACAGGAATAAACCACGAATCCAAACCGTTATTTATGTCATAAGTAATGTTCGCTTTGGACGACGACATGAGTCGTTACATCAACACTCCAAACTTGCTATATCTTCCTACATTTTCATCTAGTATCTGAAAAACTAACGATTAAATTTTAATTGTAGTTGAAATTAATGTCCATTACGATAGAAATAATACAAACAAACGCAATGAAGACAAGACTCCATCATAAGTATAAGCCACAAGGCGAAAAAGTTGAAGAATTTTAGTTAGACTTTTTGTGCCCACATGATAAGTTATTGGATTTGATGATATGATATTTCGGATAAATCTTATCAATTAACGAATCTATAATTATTGAAGAAGTTGATTTACTTTATTTTGACGGGAAATAAAATTATAGTTAAACTAGGAAATTGGTCATCTCTATTCCTATAAAACGGCATGTTATCCATCAATCCGTACATTATGTGAGAGGCAAAGAGAGAGACCAATTACATATATTTGGAGATTGAAGACATGCTATTAAACGGATATGAATCATTTATGTTCTTTGTTATTCCATAATTGTCTGTGAGAACAAAAAATTTAGAGCTTGTAATTCATATTCACCTAAATTGAACAATAAAAATAGAATGGTTAAGTTTTAACAGAATCTCCTACCTACATTGAGTAGGATAACAATTGTCCACCGCTGACGTGAGAAACATCATGCCGATGGTCAAGTTGTATTTTTTTGACATTTCAAAAGAAAAAAAGTTTGACTAGTTGACGTGACAACGCAACATCAACAAGTGGACATTATAATTCCTACTCACTGTGAGCATGTGATCATTTCTACAACTTTCAATTATTGAAACAGAATACAAAACCGAAGTTACAATTTTTAAACAAATAAAGAAAATATCACATTTTAAATATCTTTTTCTTAAGCTTCAAAAGTTTACTTTGAAGTAAGTTGTAATAAATAATTTTTTTGGTAAAAAATAAAAAAGGAGTTACCAAACTGAAAGTAATCTTAGCTTCTATCAAAACAAGAAAAAGGTAAAAACTCAAACATGTATAAACAAAATTTGACCAAATAAATTTAATTGGTCAGACATTGTGTTTGCTTCTCAATGGTCATCAGTTCGAATCCCTCAGAGCTATTGAGGTGAGCACCAGGCCATAAACTTCAGGATTTCGTGGGATTAGTCGAGGTACGCGCAAATTGACCCGAACACCCACGGTTATAAAAATAAAATAAAATTGACACACCCAAACTTTTACCCTCTAAAATTTTGAACATTACTTGAACAAATTTACGTGCTAAAAGATTTATATATATAGTAGATTGGCACATTAAAATGTTCTGGTCTTCCATTTAGACTAGATACCTCCCAACCAAGATACCAATTAAAATTTTCCTTCTATAACTAAGAAATTTTTGTGTGCTTGGAAAAAAAGTACGAAACAAGTGCATGTAACACACTCAATTATACTCGTTAAAAATCCTTATTCAATGAGAAACATGTAGAAGAAGTGCAACAAAAATTTAAATGACAAGCTAGAATTCGTTTGATTAATTTTATAAAAAATGATTCTTCTAGTTAGAAAGCTTTTAATGAAAGTTGGCCTAACGTTGCTCCTCTCAAAGCTTTTAAGTTTTACCAAATAAGAAACTCTTTCAGAAATCAATTTCCAAATATCAGTTAATGTAACTTTTTTTAAAAAGCTCTTATACAATAAATAGAATTAAAAATAAAAGTACTACCAAACGAGCCCTAAATAGATTATAAAACATTATGACATTAACATGGTAAATTCGAGTTCTGCTCTAAAATGTCTCAAACTAGGTCATGACATTTTTCTCTGCCATATCCATGTGAAAACATAGACCAAACCTTTTCTGCCGTATAACATATGGGATTGATTATAATGGCCGGCCCTACTAGAAAATGGACAAAATGAGAAGCCAGCACCAACCCGACAAAGATCTCGATTAATGACAGCCCAACAAAAAAGAATATCAAAAAAGTGAATGAAAAGCACCCACAATTGCTAAAAAATGACCCCTATTTTGTCATATGTATTTAAGTGCTTTATTAAAAAAAAAAAAAAGCATGGGCACAAATGAATTTTCAATTATAAACAGTAATTGAAATTTGTATATAAGCTGTGTACTTAGATAAAAAAAGGTTGAAATTTTAGTATAATTTCGACATTTAATTAACTTAAAGGAGCTCTTATAGGAATTCCTTTTCTCTTACGAAATAGCTTCCTTCGCCTTAATAATGTAGTACTAACCCATTCTTGAATTACTTCGGAAGAATCATTCTCACTAGAAAGCTCGTCAAGTTTGGTGAAAATCTCTTGGCTTTGCTGTTGTTCAATCATCGTGTTCGACGACATCTGCAAATCAAAATTTGAAACATAAGTAGCTTATAAACATTTTGGGCACTCGAGAAATCTAAGTCAAGAAAATTACTTTGCAGGCAATGGAGCAAAAGCGATTTGGCAATTCTTGTATGTGCCTCCCACAAGCTTCACACGATGCCCCAGCTTTCGGTTTTGA